CCTGGGGCAGGTGGCGGTGCTGTGAAGGCAGGGAGGGCTACAGCCACCCCAAATTTTGCTGCATCTCCCCACCACAGCACTGCTGCTACCCACCCTCAGTGCAGCCCAGCCCCACCCCCTTCCAGGAAAAGCCCAGTGTTAGCCCCAGCCCATAAAAGCAGCCTGCCTTTGCCCCGCGCACTGATCCAGGGGACACATGCCCCTCTACGCCTTCCCGGGGTGAGTGCAGCAGCAGGAATCGCCTTCCCTCTGCACCCACAGATGAGTTGTGGCTCCATCCTGTGCCATGCTTTGGCTGGGCAGCGCCTTCCCCAGCCTCAGCACCAGTCCCATTCCCTCCCTCATCATGGGGGCCTCAGTCTGCCTTCCCTGCTTTCATCCCCCCTCACCCCTTCCCTCTCAACTGACTTACCAGCCGGATGCCACTCTCCATGCTGCCAGGCTGCATATCAGCAATTGCATCAGTATCAGCTGATATGGCTCATTAAAAATCAGCCATCGGTATCAGCCCAAAAAGTCTCTATTGGTGCACCCCTATCAATTATCACTGTTAATGACCTCTTTTATTTTGCTACTTAATTTATGAAAATGGTCAATAATAATTGTCCAGTGTATTGTTTTCTCAGTGCTTAGTGCAGTAGAGCTCTGATTTTGGTGAGGGCATTCATAGAGTTATAAACAAGCCGGGCTGGGAGGACTTTGGCAGGTCATCCAGTCCAACACCTTGCTCAAGCTGGAATGTTGTCTGTCTAAATAACCCTAGGGATTTTTTCTCTGAACAGATGCTAACATAATAAAAATACTAAAATAATGCAACGTTTCTGAGTGTCTGTAGCAAGGGGAGCCCTGCCAATCTTTTTGCCAGATCATTCTTAAAACCTACCTTGTTGATGATATTTGATGAGACCTCTAACTTTTCCTTAGGCCACCAGCAAGAGTTGGCAGTCAGGCAGTCCAGGAAAATGCTACCACTGTAGATCAAATTAGTTTAAGGCCGTATGAAAACAGGGATATACCAGATTAAGCATCACAAATTCTGCTGAATTAGTGGCATCCTAATAAACCCTAACTGCTCCCCTCCCCTCCAAAGGAAGACATCAAGCCAAAACATAAAACCACAGAGCCAGGATATAAGCAGGAACGCACAGGACAAAAATAAGGAGCCATCCAGGTTCTAGCAAGGATTGAACACTAATACCGAGCCTGTTCCTTAAAAATGTTACTGTTACAAGAATGCAGTGAGGTTCAAAAGAGCCAGAAGAGCCATGGCCAAACCAACCACTTGACTCAGATCCTGTTTGTTTCCTCCTAGTGATCAGTGTTGGGGCTAGTCTTTCATGCATGGGTTAAAATTTAGAGTCACTCGTTAGATAAATGTGTGCTTATTTCCCAAAATAGCACTGAATTAACTGAAACGTGCATTTCTATACAAAACATCTTTTCACATCCCATGCCAGTTTCTTGCTTGAGGCATTCTTTGTGCATTTCTCCCGTTATTAGAAAAGTCAAATCTAGTTTTAAATTCTTTTATATTTATCCACTAGGTGGAGTAAGAGTCATTTAGTTCAACATTAGGAGGTGTAGGCTATGCTGAAGTCTGTTGGTTACTGCTCATTGTTTCATTAG